CGACATTTGATTTATGTTTACTCAGCAATGAATTGCATTTCGTAATCACACCGTCGCCTGCGTGCGCCGACAACAGAGATGACATGCCTCCTAAACCCCCTAAACCTCCCAAACCTATCTCTAAACCTGTCGTCCCTTTACTCGTCTGTTTTGGTATACTATGAACGGAATGATCGGATGATTTCGATGGCTCACTATTAATGGCATTAATTGTATGAATGGCATGAATATGGCTTTCATTTAAGCGGACACCGCTTTCACGACTGCTCTCCACTTCCTTTTGGGACAAATCCTCTCTCAATGTCATACTTTTAGCGTCGGAATCGTCTAAACAAACAAACAATTCATTAATTTATTAAAACCTATATTTAACGAGCATTTCATTCATTCAATTTAATACCTAAATTGGTTGACCCCAGAGGCTGAGAATTCGTGTTGAGAGTGGTCTTAATATTTGTCTTGTTTTCCTTTAATATAAAAAACAAATCAAATAATTACAAAATGAGACAACTTTTTGACTAAACAAACAAAACACAGAAATCACTCACGTTTATGAGTCCAAGCGATGCAGTGGTTGTCGTAATGTTTTCGCCTCTAATTCTCGGAAATATATGTGAAAATAAATTACTGGTAAATGAAGATGTGGTGGACGTAGCGGTAGGTATAGGCGACTGAACGCCAGTCGACAACTGGACGTTCGAGAAGCTATTGGTGACACTCGTCGAGTCTGTGATGTGTGATAACGATGTGGTGGTGTAGGTGTAGATCGAGTTCGTGGTCACGAAATTCATGTGCTTTTTGGTCTCCACTTCCTTCTCACCCTCTTTCAGACACTCTTTCATCGAATTTACCGTGAATTCCAGTAACTCTTTGTCCAAATCTTTGATGGCTTTGTTGGTAACCAAAGGCAGTGACTCGAGAATGACTCCCAAGTGAGGGGTCGCCAGTTTCTGCCACTGCCTCAAAATGGTTGACCCTTCGAGGGGTTTGACGATCTGTAACTTATCGCCCATATAGTAGTTCTTTGCGTTATTCGTGTTATTACTATAAGGCGTCGAACCGATCATTGGCTGCGGATTATTGTAACGATAGTAGAAGGAGTCGCCCGACAGTACAGAGTCGGGACTATAGCACCGCATCTCTTCGGTGCCGGTATTCTGATTGCCGGCACTCTTGCGAACGGGTCTAAAGCCCAGACTCGAGAGCTCGCCATCTGAACAGTCGCTGCCGAGCGTCGACTCCAACTCGGAGGCCAACGAATCGGCGAATGGCATGTATTGGTAGTGACTTGTGTTGAATCGCGATTTCTTCTTGAACTCGGTCTGCAATTCGTGGAAAGCGGCCAAAAGTGTGCCGTATTTCTCCTTAATCTCAATCAACTCGACGGACAACTCGTTCTGACACTCGTGGGACACTTGGAGGGCGTTCTGAAGGGAATCGCATTCAAAGGTCAAGTCGCGCACTCGTCGCTGCAGTTCAACCACTCGTGTGACAAGATTTGTGATCTCTTCCTGTTGTCTCACGTTATCTTCGCCTTTGAGTCCGACCTCTTCCTGGAAGCTCAGAATCTGGAGATTAGCCTCAGCTGTGGTGTACGTGACGGACAGACTGTTAGTACAATCAGATAACGGAAGACAAACAATGGGAATACGGACTCAATTGTTTGGCGCAGTCGTGTATGAGTTGGAGTTCCTTTCGCTCCTCCAACTCGATGTCGTTGGCTCTGG